AAACTCCAAGCCCTGAAAAGCAGGGATTGCGACTTCACTGTGTACATAACATACTTCAAAGGAAATAGGCCCAGGTGAAATCTACATTTGAAGTTCAGCCCTGACGGTAAAAGGGGAAAAATAGGGAAGGCTCCTATAGGCAAATACACCAAAGGAGATCCACCCTTTGGGACATGCCAGGAGGAGCTGCACTGAGCTTGTCTGAGCTAGAAGTCACTCTTAGACTTTGCATAGCTGACGGGTGGAGTCATAGTTTAATAGTTTCAGTCAGTTTTGACTTAGACATCTTTTTTTTTGTGTTTTGCAGATAGTACATAGCTTTACAAACCAGAAGACTGTAGGCCCCCTTCCCCTATGGGGTCCACACCCCCCTCATATATGTAATAAATGAGCCCCTTAGTTCAGTGTTGCTTAATTGTACAAATCAATGTCTGAACAATCACCCTGGTTGTACTACTTTAGGATTCACTCATTTTCTTTCTACTAGTTATTCACCTTTCATACTGCATTCAGCATTTTCCTGTCATTTAATATCAGCCATTCTTGAAAGATGCTTGCTCAAAGAAAGTCAAAGCTCATTATCTGGATGTTAAGGCTCGTTGGGTTGAATGTGGAAATGGGGATCAGAGTAATTTATTTTCACAGCACACCTGTACTGCAATAAAATAATTTGCATAGAGTGTGCTATACAGTGTTCAAGGTTCAAGGATTTGTAAATATGTTTTTCTGCAATGCTCCGTGTTTTGCCCCATGGGCAGGCCATGGCTCCTTGCTATTTCCATTACTGCTGTTTACTCACAGTGGTCAAGCAGTCAAGGAAGACAAGAAGAACAGAGCAAATGAACTCCTGTTACTGCGAAGTTGCTGGGTTGTGGTTTGGTCAAAGCTCCTCCTGACTCCAGTGAGAGCCTTCACTAAGAGAGGCCTTCAGGGTTTGGTCTTTGAATACCACCTGATATATTGAATATACGCAAAAGATTTATTTATTGATTGATTGATGTATTCATCACTTCTCACAGGAGTTTCTCTAGAAAGAATGTTGCTGCACACCAGTGCACAACCTTGCTGATTAAGTGTTAATTGTGTATCTCATAACTGTGCATGTTCCTAGAAGTGTCAAAAGATTTGCTCCAGATGTGGCTCTTCTTCAGTGGAAAAGAATGGAAATGTGTGTACAAATACATGCAATGACCACACACAGAGACATATATGTGTATATAAATACATGTGTGCATATACACATAGGATATTTCATGTTTGCTTTCATTTAAAGTACCATGTCTTAGTAGTGAGACATATCCCAAGATTTTTATATTCTTTTCCAAAATTTCAGCTTAGCTAAAAAATGCCTTTTTAACATGGTTTCCTGAGGAAATGACGCTTTTGTGGTTATTCTCGCTGCGTGTTGGCTTTTGCATTTGGCCTGTAACAATCTTTTTGTCCAGTCACTGATTTTAATTAAATTTGATATGGGGTAGAAGTCTCAACGATAGGAAGTTCTTACAGGATTAATGAAAACTGGCTGCCAAATGCAGGAGGAAAATCTATTAATACTCCATCTGAAAGAAAGAGTGAAGCTTGAGCTCACTCCTTTGAAACAATAAGATATTATGAATGCCCCAACCGTGGGAAAAACTTCAATCAGCACTCACACTAGAAAATCCAACCACAAGATACACATTCATAGGAAACCAGGCTTCATCCGCCGTTTGCTTTGATACGTGGCATATGATTAAAAGAAAACTGAACACATTATGTGTCCTTCCCTTTGAGGCTTCACACTCTGTAACCAGGTTTGTCTGTACACAAGGGAGATTTGAGGATCTGGCCCTAAACTAATGAAGAGCACGCTCCTTCCAACATCCTGACTCAAAATCTTTCCAAGTATGGGCTGAGACACTGCTATAAGCGTAAATCTGCCATAAACTTCTATCAAAGAAAGGCATATGTAGGATGAACTGGAGAAAATCACAGTGTAGTTTTCATAGGGAAAATATGCTTGATCATAATTCATAATTTGCAAGGAAAGGTGTGGAAGTTATGTTAGTCGGACTTTATAATCGCAACTGAACAAAGTGCTAAGATGATTTCCAAATAAGGAACAGCCTTGCCTTAAGATAAAGGAGGTGACTTGAAAAATTTCAGGCACCAAAAAACCAGTACTTTGAATAATACGCAGAACTTCGGGAAAGCTTGGGTTAAAGCTAAATACTGTCAAATTGCAAAGTCTTCCTTTCATGCACAATTGTTCCCACATGTGATATTGGAAATTAAGTTATTCTGGTTGAGATAACTTCTATAACTTTCAAAAATGGGATGTATCGATTGATGAATTTATAAAGCAAGTTCCACACACGTTATCTGAAAATCTTGTTTACAGATATTGTCTGCTAGATTGTTAGACAGGGGAAAGAGATTTTAAAGGAAAATAACTGAAATTCAAATCTAGGGGAAAGGCTGTCAGAGGCTGCTTCTTCTCAGATATCTAACGTGCATTGGTTTTGGTTACTGCTGGGGTGGAAAAACTATGCAAGATTTGTTTTATTTAAGTAGACATACTTTTGGTTGCTAAATCCAAGTGTCATAGGATCTTTTGGGTTAGAAATTCACCAGATTAGTTATGAATAACGAAAAATGAGAGTTTATCTGAAGTGAATTTATGGGCCAAAATTACACAGGAGCTTGAACACATAAATAATTTCAGTTCATATGCACACATTTTCCCAGATACATTTTTAGTTGCACAAGTATCAGGCATGAAAATTATGTAGAATTCCCGGAACTGCATAAGTTGCTGATGACAAAGCCACACAACAGAGTACTTGAAATTCTGAGATGGCTTCTGGAAATGTGACTTCTGATCAGTAAGTTGAAATTCAATATCAAATGCATACTTTAATTTTTTTAAAATAAGTTAATTTGCCAAACAAAGTTCCTAAGAGTATTTTGATAGTCCTCAAGTTTTTTAGTTTTCCCAGAATAGCTGTTATGCTACCTCACCTCTATTTGATACTGTAATAAGGTCTTTCTCATTAATACTCCATTCATTCATACCTAATTGCCTTAAATGATTAAAACCCAAGTTAAATAAATAACTTGATATATCATTAACCTGTATAATCTCAGAAGGGTAAGCATTGACTATCAAACATGCATTATTGCTTAAAAGTCCTTATATATCAAGTAGATGAGATATATTGTATTCATGTTACATACCAAACGTTCTTTATAACCAGTATAATAAAGTTAAATGCTTCCTTACACTTTCTCCGTCACAATCCTAAGTCACTTTGTTTTAACATGGGACTGAAAAATGTCTCTTTTTTAACTTGAAAAAATTTACTGACTGGTATGACAGTCATCTTTTATTTGGCCAGAGTGGGACAATAGATATCTCTCTTAATGGTTAATATTTTATATCCTCACATACCTGCTATGAAAAATTAAATTCTTCTTACTCGTAGTCACAGACTAGAATTAAGGGTCAAAAATGACTGTTAAAACATCCATGGTTTGATTTTGCCATTCTGTATAGCTACAAAAAAAGGCCCTGAACTAGGTTATACTGTAAAGCACCATTCCCTGTGATAATCTTCCAGGGCTTTGGCTTTTAAGCAGTTCTTAGTAACATCTGTCTCTCTCCTGTCCCCTCCAAACATACAGATATATCTGGTGGGAGGGAAGGGAGAGACTTGCAACTTTGTTATTTTCAGGCTGTTCTTTAAAACCGAGGCTGCAAGTGTTTCAAGTGACCCCTTTTCTTCTACCAAAAAGGTTCCTGATATGAACTTGTTGGGGGTCTGGGTGTGCCCTCAATGGAAGTTTTCACATTGGCCTCAGTGGATAAACTGTCAAGACCAGTGACTTTAACTTTCACACCTCCATTTTGCATTTCATCCTCTTTTTAATTCTGGGTTGAAGTCTGGCTGCATGCACCCTGATGACTAAGTCTCATTTTTACAGACTTTTTAGCTTTCAATTTAGAATATTTTTGAAAAAAAGGTTTGGCTTGCTTTCTGTGTATTTCAGTAAGAATAACAATCTGAAGCCTTTATAATATTTAACAAATTACTTTCCCAAACTCTTGAAGAGTGTCTATAGTTATAACATATGTTTTTAAACTTTGCAACTTCAAACCACTGAAAGACAGTATATCAAGAGTTGGGGAGTTCTGTATACCTTCACTGGAATGATTAAGCATGTGATAAATCTATGACATTTTTCTAATACATCATATAACTAGGTGGGTTTTTTACAGTATAAATAAAATAAAGGACAGTTCTACTCATGCTGCTAATGCTAAGGGAATTAAAAAGGAAAGTCTGTGTCACTGAAAAGAGGGAATACTGTCTTTGGGGTCACTCCAAAATGCTGTTTCTGTTATAAGAATAGTAGTCTCATTTACAAGAATTTACAATTCACTGTGATTTTTTAGTGGCTTGAAATGCCTGCTACTTGTTACGGACCATGTTGACACAGATCAGCCTAAGAAACTGGGTCAGCTGACAAGATATTCCCTATATTATTACCTCCCTGTAGTATTAACGTGTGGGTCCTTCTGTGTGAGTTTCTGAACATGGTTTGCTGTCAACTGTATAGTTTCATTTGCAATTATTAAAAAGTCATTTCTCTTTAAGTTAGGGGAAAAAAATTAAAACTATTTAGTATTTCATTTCTCAAAGCTTGGCCATTTTCCTGTATTGCTCTCTCTGGAGCCTTGTCTTTTCATTCAGCTTCATTTTTGACTACGGATTATTCATTTATGGATGGGCAGCTGTAGAAACTTGCTTTTTGCATATGCAAATCAATCATGGTAATGTTTATCATAAGAAGATTTTGTGGCAGTGGAAAAGGGGTTGTGGCAACATGTTCTTGATTTCAATTGTATCTTCTACAAATGGAATTGGCTTCCTCGCTTCACCTTCAGTGGATTTTACTATTTTTTTTTGACATTTACCCCTTGGACCACTCACTAAGCAAGCTGTTCGATTCACTTACAGATCATGATTTTGGAAGGAGCTGGCAGAATGAGTATCAATTCCAGCAGCAATCTACTCCACCAGCAGCCTTCCTGGACAGATGGGTATTCCACGTGCAATGGTAGGAAGAATTCAATGTCTCTGAGCCATGCTTTTCAGGGGGGAGGCAGGGCGGAAGGGGCTACTGCACCTTTAAGAATGCACAAATATTATTTTTCAGTAATACTAATTTACAGAAGTTTCACTTCTGGTAAGAAAATTTTCCATTTTTTAATTTATTTGTAAAAAGCTGAACTTGCAGCACCGTTTCGGAAAGTGACCAGTTTATGGTTCATTTCCTTACTGGTTCTTTTTCTTAAAATGAATTTAGTGGTGCTGAAAGTGCCAAAAGTTCCCTCCCGTCGGTCCAGAATTCTCTCTCTCTTACCTTCACCCCTCAAGTCTTTTCTGAACCCACATTACTCTTCAACACTAATCACCCTTCCAGCTTACAGGGGAATAGTCTTTTTTGCTCCTTTACTGTATTTGCTTTTTCAGCTCAAATTACTAGATATCTTTCAAATTAGACTGGCATTAGAGCACTAGATAACTTGTGATCTGACCCCTTTTCTTTTCTTCCTCACTATTTCTGATTATTTGGCTATAGGTATAAAAATGTGTTCATATCTACATATATGTAGTGTTTGATATAATTTTAAAATTCTTTTTATCACTCAGTCAACAGCTAAACCCTTAAAATCTAAACAAACACATGCTGCAGTTGTCCTTCTAATCCAAATGATGCCGCAAGAAAACTTACAATAAAATTTCCCACTTAATGATGCTCTTGTTCTCTTTTATATGTGATTTCTAAATGCACAGGAATGCTTAAGAGTGCACTTAATAAATGTGCTGACTTGCGTGTAACAGATTCATAGGGGAAAAAATCCTGACAGAGTTTAATTTTGCACAGAATTTCATGGAGGGAAATGGTAGGATCTATTTTGATGTTTCCAGTGTGTAACTTACCAGAATTCACTTGTGTTTTAGAGGCACAGGAAGCTGAAAGCTCAAACCAGCCTCTACAGTCATTCACCACTTCGCTTCCTTTTACCCAGCTACTCTTCCTCTCACTAAAGGGTCTCCATTTACATTAGCAGTCTAGCGGCCTCTGAAATTTCTTTACCCTTCTGAAGTGATGGGAATACATACCAACCTCCTTTTCAGGGAATACTTGATGGCTGTATCAAACCTTTATTCTCTGACATGCCACACTCTTAATCATTTCCACACTCATTCCCCAAATTCTTCGACAGGAGGATGAGAAACAGTACTGCAAACTCCCTAAGTTACTGACACAGACCTTGTTGGCCAATGTTGATAAAGAAACCTAAGTAACTGTAGAGCTTTTTTTTGTTTACCTGGAAACTAGCATTGGGCACAGTATCTCAACCAAAGAGACTTCAGTTCCAGTGGGACCTGAGGGGATGTGATTTCCTAAAACGCGCCAACTCTGTTGCTTGTGGTCCTCTAGCAATATCCACTGTTGTCAGTATTTCTTACAGCTGTGTGGGTAATCTTTTTCTTGGGGACATTGAGAACACACTGGTGCTACATTCTGGACCTAGGCCATGGCAGTCTTTTCTCCTTCTATAATTTAGTTACCTCTGCAGTGTCTCATTCCTTCATTGTTAAAGCCTTCATGTGCTTGTGACCATTTTACCATGCCACCGTCTCTGCCTGGCATATTCCATTGTTCTCCTTTCCCAAGGAATAAATTGCACTGGACTCCTTTTGCCAGCTCTTCTGTGAGGGTAGACCAAAGCAGTCCTGCCTTTGCTCCTATCTTATATAATTATCCTATCCTCACATACAATTTCTTTCATTTACACACGTAAATTACTATTGTCCACTGTCATACAACTGAGAGCAGCTGAAAAGTTTGCCAAAAAAAGATTCAGGCATCTTAACAAGAAAATTAGGCAGCTTCCATAACTAAAAATTAATTTTACAACTGCATTCAGAAATCACCTTACTTGACTACAGAAATAACGTGCATTCATCAGAAAGTGAGCTCTATCATGAAGCTGTGGGTCATACTGATAGGCTTTTAGTATGGGGCAATATGAGAATGCCTTGGCTTTTACCATTTTTTGACTGAATCCCACAGTCCATATTCAGTCCTTATTAAGACCTTATTCAAAGAAAATTTCCACATCATATTATGAAAATTTTGCAAAGCTTTTCCATCATTTTCTGATGCATTATGATTATTTCCCCACACAAGGATCAATATACCTTTTCAACACTACTTCTGTAAGGTACCTTCCATCAAAGAATTTTGGTGTACTTAGCCAACATTAATAAATTATTTCCTACATACTTAATCTGCCAAGAGAGGTGTAATGTAATAATTCCCAGTTTATAATAGAAAGCTGAAGCAAAAAAAAAAAAATAACAATACCTTCTCCAGCAACAGATACTGAACTAATGCTAAGGACTGAGAAAATAATCTACATCTGTGGTCTTCCAGGGAATGCAATTTAGCTGTAGATCTTTCTTGTTGTTTACATACTCCTGTGGTCTTAACAGAGAGAGTAAGTACCTATTCTCTTTTCCAGTGTCCAGCAGCTTCTACGGAACCCAGTGGCATGAAATACACCCACAGTACTGGACTAAATTTCAAGTCTGGGAGTGGCTGCAGCATCTCCTTGATACCAACCAACTGGATGCCAACTGCATACCCTTTCAGGAGTTTGATATCAATGGGGAACATCTGTGCCGTATGAGCCTGCAGGAATTCACTCAGGCAGCTGGGACAGCAGGGCAACTGCTTTATAGCAACCTTCAGCACCTAAAATGGAATGGTAAATAGATGTTAGGCAGAGACATATGTACAGTGGTCTGAATTCTGGGATCTTCAAAAGTTGCTTACATTCCCCAGAGACCTACCTGGCAGATCTGATTTGCTACATTTGCTATAAGCTGCTTATACCTCATTCATTGTATTGCTAAACTGCTTAGATATGACATAAAGCAGAAGTCTGAAGGACCAGGGGAAAGGGTATGTTCCCACTCTAAGGAACTCTAAAATAAGCCCTCTGGCTCATCTGTAGCAGTTGCTGCTAGTACCTATATTATTAGAACCTAATATCTATGATTCTTCTGGCTCATTGTCATAGATCGTGTCTGTTGTATGCTTTCTTGCAGGCCAGTGTGGAAGTGACATGTACCAATCTCATAATGCCATTGTGAAGACAGAACAAACAGGTGAGTAACAGCTGGGTAGCTTTCTTTGATGGTGACAAAAAGTGGAAGCTGTCCATTCCAAGAAAGACACATCAAAATGGCATTACATAAAATGGAAAGTGTATCATGCAGAATAAAAGAAGTAAAACAAATATCAGTAAATGTCTACTTTTTCAAGTTTTGAGTCATACCACTGAATCTTAGTTTGCATGTGGCCACTTTTTCTGGGAGACCTCTGCAGTATCAGCTCCTTGGAGTTGGAATAGTTCACAGTACTCAGTTAGTACAGCTTGTCAAGGACTTCATTCTATGCTTCATTCAGCAGATTTCAAAGGAACTAATTTCACTGTATTCTTAGTTTTAAAAAAGAGAAAAAATATTTTGTTGTGAAGTGCTGTTAGTGTTTAAAATGAGGAAATTTACAAACAAAACTTTGAGAGAAAAAAGAAAGGTTACATTTCAAATTCTTCACGTTTTAATGAAACTAAAATACAGGTAGTATTTTGGTTTGACCAAATCTGCATTTTTCCTGTGGAAGTCTTTTTTCCCAGTGTTTTCATATCTACAACCCTTTTCTCCAAAGACTTCCTTTCACCAAGAAAAGAACTTCAGCTTGGTTCAATCTTCCTCTTCAGGCACAATTATTTTTCTGGTTCCTTTGCCAGAGCACCTCTCTCTGTATCCAAACACTCTCTATCTCACTAGTCCCAGCCTCTTTGTGTGTGGGTTTGTTCATAAGCGGTTTTAATATCTCCTGGCGGAACAAATACAGATTCACAGCATGCGGTGTCTCTGACAAATACTGCCAGCCTGCTTATTCAGCTAATCTGGAAGAGTCCAGCCTCTCCAGCCAGGGACACTATTCACCTTCTTGCAGTGGGCAAGCACTGCGATCTGTGATGCGCTCCTTGCCTGTGCCCACGTAGCGCAGGCGATGTGCACACGGCAGCCTCAATGTTTGCCATATAGGAAATTACAGTAATCTTTTAAGTCCTGATTTATGAGATCTTGGTATAATATTAGTTTCTCTTCCTACTAGAGATAAACAACGCAGTGTGAAGTGCCTCAGCTGCACATCCTGGAAAGGCCAAAGCCCAGGACTAACTAACTGATGGTTAGTTGTGCTGAATCAGGAGTGGCGAGGAGGGCCTCTGGCAATGCCGACCACGGGCAGTGGGAGTGGGTTTAGTTTGTGCATGAGGAGGAGCAGACGGTGCAGATTGGGGCTGCTGGGGAAGGGACTCCTTGTGAACCACCACGGACAGGTTGCTTGGAGGGGAAGCCTGCCTCGTCCCAGCAGACCATTGCAACTGCAAAGGCATGGGTACTGAAAAAGGCCAAAATGGGAAGACAAGCTGTCTCCCCACGTTCTGGCTAGGTAAGGCCTGTTTTCAGAGGCAACATCAGGCAGATCAGGTGTCCAAGCAAGCAAAGGGTGTGTGCTGTTGTAGGAACACAAGCTCTGGGTGCCCAAACATGCAGCTATTACTTAGCATGCCTGCTAAATTCCTGTGTCGTAAGTGGTAGCTCAGCCAAACGTGATGATTTAGCTATAACTAATTTTGGTTGTTTTTTTTCATTTATATGAACATGAAATGAAGTAAAACCTAGATTTGAACCCTTTATCTCATCCTTTCTGTCTTGGATTCAAAAGGAAAAGAGATTTTTTTACAGCTTCTGACCTCAAAAATGCACTGTGAAGAGAGTAATTTCCTGATCAGTGTCCAGGTCATAAAGGCAATGTTTCTGTTCTGCCTATATTGAGCCATCTGACCAGAAGGTTACTAAACATTATTGCTCTTCAATCATTAATGTGTTTTTTATGTTAAAGATGGAAACTTGATGTGCCTGAAATAAAATGGCTCTTCACATAGGATTAGGCTTTGATGTTTCTCACTAGGTGCTTAAACATGAAGCTCTGTTTCAGAGGGGACTTTTGAGTTCTACCATTATAGAAATAAATGATTATTATAAGCATCCTCTGGTTTTACTAGATATTTGAGAACACTTTCATCTCTATGGCACCAAAGCACTGTCATAATCACTATGGGCTGAGAATGTGGGACTAGATTGGGTAGAATTAGACTTGGTCTGTCATAGGAAAAGTCCTTCAAGGGCAGACATAAATGATATATTAGCCAGGAAAAGGAAGAGCCTGCTACATTATTTCTAAAAGTCAGTGCTTTGTGTAAGTACATTTGCCTGAGTATGCAAAACCCCATCCATAATTTGAGTGAAAGGAAATAATTTCATGCATAGACCTTTCACTTCTTGGTTCCTTTCACATCTCTTTTTTGCAGATTTCTTATTTTCTTCTTTCTCAATATTCAACTCTGTGCTAAAAAATGTTCTTTTAGTTATCTGATTTTCCTTTTTGTCCTTTACCTTCAGATCCATCATTAATGGTGTCCTGGAAAGAAGAAAATTACCTGTATGACAGTGGCTATGGTAGCACAGTAGGTAACTAACATCACAATACTTCATGCATTTCTGAAATGGCTTTATTGTTTGAGTCTATTACTTTAAATGTATTCTTTCCAATTCCCAGAGCTATTGGACAGTAAAACATTCTGTCGTGCTCAGATTTCCATGACGACACCTAGTCACCAGACTCCTGGTAAGGAACTTGCAATTATATTGTTAATTGTTTGTCACTTGTCCCAGAGCTACCAACATATAATAGTCTCTGTGGTCTTCTGTTGTAGGACTGAATCTGAGCTTCCAGTAATTTTAAACCAAGCAATAATGATCCTGACAGCTCTTTTAGCTATCATTATTACAATAGCTTGCTTTAAAGAAATGCTTCTCTCTTCTCTCTGTCAAGATCAAATAATCTGGAATCTCCATGTATCTTTTAAAGTGACTGAGTCAAAGGGGAAGATGTTAGTGTCAGGGAGATGCAATGTTCCAGCTCCACCACACTTCTCTGTGGTGTAGCTGGGAAGGGGCAAATGGGTGCCACGTTCCCCCCCAGAAGTGTCTGTGTTTCCCTAGTGAGGCAGTGGTTCATGTTGAGTAGGATTGGGGGCTGAGTTTGGGGGTCAGCCTGGGGGAGCCATAGGTCAGGCACGAAGCCCTCTGCCCAACTGCTGTAGCAGAAGGGCTTCCTCCTGGAGCTCATCTCAGCTGACAGCAGGGCAGGTACTGCATGCCTCTGGACCCCTCCACGGGGCAGAGATGCAATCTGCCTGCTAAAGGGCAGGAGAAAGACCAAACCTATGTGCAGTAGTGTCCAGCAAAAGTGCAGTCTGTGCACATGTGTTGGGGTGCTCTGCGGGCCGTGTCCCAGGGGCAGGCACCACAGGCAGAGGTGAGAGGGCGAAGCAGCGGAAAAAGAGGAGAGCAGTGATGGCAGGGGAGCGAGAAAGGGGGCAGGTCCTTCCTAGAAGGCTGTTAAGCAAAGTGACCTGAGGGAGAAAGCAGTGGATATCATGGGAGGCTGAGAAAGGGAAGCACACTGCTGAGGATGCGGCCTTGCTGCGCTGTCTCTGCACCGGGGGCAGCCCTGTGCCTCTGTACGCCCAAGCAGTCACCGCTTCTGTGCCTGCCTCCACTGCATTCCCTGGTCTGGCAGCACAGCTGGACTTGCCAAGTGTAAACTAATGCACTCAGCATTAGACTAAAAAAAAAAAAAAAAGAGAGAGAAAACCTGACCAGAAGAAGAAAACCACCAAACTTTAAAGCTCTCTGTTTGCTTTCTCCGTCACCTCCACCCACTATCACAAGATGGCTACCAGGATTTCAGAGCTCTCTAACAGGACTGGGGACCTGTCAAGATCCTGGCATGGTGTGTTTACCCTCTGACTGCTTAAGCCTAGAGCTAGGGTGGCACGCCAAGGGCACAGCCTCCTGTAAAAACTGAATTTGTATATCCCGTAAAAAAATGGCTCATTCCTGAATCATATGCAAATACCGTGCAACCTTTAGTCAAAAGTTTTGCAAGACAGCTTTGTTGAAACTACATCATAACTCTTTTAATCTGTCAGGCCCCAGCCTCCTAACATGGCATGTTTGAAACCGGTCTCCACGTAGGAGTGGTGGCAGAGCAGGAGACTATTTACACAGCTGAAATCCAGAATAAATAACCAGCCAGGCAGAAGGCAACTAAACTTCCAAGAATAAATCTCCAGTCAAATGGAGCATAATAGACATTTGCAAGTGCATTGTGGGATTTTAAAATGAGGAGGATTTATATAAGAGGCCAAATAAAGGACTGGGTCCTTCTGTCCTTGACTAGAGTTCCCACAGACTTTTAATAACATCAAGGGAATCATAATTTGAGGAAATGTGGTGAAATGAGGGTCATTTTACTTCCGCCCCTCTCCGCAAGCTGAGTGAGGTTCAGGCTAGTTCCTGATCTTTGAGAGCGGGAAGGCAAAATGACTTAAGAGTGCGATTGCTGCTTAGGGGTAAAGGACAATAATTATGTAAGGCTCAGAATAATGGAGGTTAGGCTTATCCTCACTGACCTGTTCAGTTTATGCTTCCAGTTATGTATGAATAAAGCAAGTGTGTGAATATCTTTGCATCTACCTTTTCACATGCAGTTATTGCAGTTGCTTGTGCAAATCTGACAAGTTTCTATGCAAATGATTATTTCCTGTGAGTCATTTTCCCATGCAAATGCCCGGTTTCCTTGAAAAGTATGATAATAGTGCATTCAAAGAAGCTGGGAAAAGGTGCGTGGGACCTTAAGCTTTGCTTTATGGAATTCAGGCACGAAGCGTTCTGAAAAGCAAACACAGAAGGAGCTCCCTCTCAGGACTATCCCACAGCTTTTGTGAGACTTAGAGCGATCAGATGAAAGCTATTCATTAATGACAAGAGCAGAGCCAAGCTGCAGTGGTTTTAGGGCAGGAGGGTTGAACGTGCAGACTGTGAGGTAGGTTACAGTCATGAACAGTGAGGAACTTTTCTTTTTATTCATTTCTGAAAAACACTTGTGCCAGAAACCCTATTCCTCCTCTGGCTGGCTGCAGGTGATAAAGTACCATTGATGAGAAATGGCTTGTTTCTATGGCTCTGAGCCATGAAATAATATATGCACGTCTAACTGCCAAATACTCCTACCAGCACAGTCCTGTTCCTCACCCCTGCCCACCCTCTCCTCCCCCCCAGACAACAATGCTGTGCCAGTTCATTATGTTTTAGTCTGGTGAAGTATTCTGTGCATTGGTACCAGTGCATACATTTCACATTAGGTCATCTCTTCAGAAACAAGTAAGCCCCCAATGATACATGCTTCTGCAAAGACTAAGGCATAATGGGACAATTCAGGATACCTTTTATAGACATGATCATCTTATTTTTCTCTCTCTCACACATAACATAAGGTGAGGTATTTGTTAATCAAATTTAGTTTCAAAAGCCAAATGTTTATCTCTGTATTCATTCTTTATTCATCAATGGTCTCTTTGTGAAATATGCTGATTTTCATATAGTACAGAAAACAAAACTCTCCTCCTTCCTCCTCACTTAGATTACCTTCTGAAAAGTGATTAGCTTTAAAAGAGATATTCGTTCTTTTTTGTGGTTTTATTTCTTTCAACCTGCTAGTCAATGGAAAGCCTTTAATCAAATCTACAAATAAGCTTCATTTTCCTTCTCTGCAGATTCTTCAGATGTGAAAAAAATGCAAGATCATACCCCAAAGTCCCACACCAAGAAGCACAGTAAGTTGACATCCGTGTTTATATAGTTGGTGGACCGAAGGAAAAAAAACACATTAAAAGCAAATCCCCTTTGGGAAGGAAAAGGAAGCATTTTGAAAGCAAAACTGGTTAGATCATTATTGTGATTGAGTCCTCCAAGGATCTGACTGTTTCTAGTACTGTTTGATTGTGTTATTTTTTACTCAGTTTTGTTGCATTTTTCAAATTGTTTTTATCAGTGAGGGCTTAGGGGGAAGCAACTAGAAATCAGTTCCCTCTGCCGTGTGCTGAGCTGGGCTGTCAGACTGGATTAAAGGAATGGTGAAGGAGACCCAGGATTAAATCAGAAAGGTCTGTGTGTGGGCATGGCCGTGATCATGCCCATGCGTGCTGGGTGCAGCATGCACCAGAGACCCTGCTCAGCGTCTCCTTGCAGAACTTTTCATGCATGACACCACAAGCAAGCACCTGCCCCTCAGTCCTGCCACATTCCTCTCCTCTCAGTCTTTCCACTCCCCTCATCTGCTTTTTCTGCTAGTTTTAAGTCAACGTGACTCTGGAGACAGGTTACCATAATTGTGATTTTTTTGCCATAGTCCCATTAATGTACTTTACAGAGATTTATCTTCTGTATGTCTCTTGCATCCTGTGTCATTCCCTATTTATAATAGAAAACCTGAACTGCATTTTGTAGTATTTCATTTCATCCTGTTTCAATATGGATTCCAGATTATCTGGCTCTTCCTGGCTCTTCTTCTTAGCCTGCTCTGTGACTTTCCCCAACCAGAACTCCTGGACTTTATCTGCAAAAAGATATTTTGTTTCCTTTTTCTGTGTGTATATCAAGGTTGCTAATGAAAGGATTAGATAGGACTGGTCTGAAGCCTGAGCTGTGAAGAACTGAAGTAATTTCGTTTGTTCAGCTTAGAGAAGAGAAGGCTGAGGAGTAACCTCATCACAGTCTACATCCTCCTCAAGGAGGGCAGCTGAGGGGAGGTGCTGATCTCCTGTCTCTGGTGACCAGCAACAGGACATGAGGAAATGGAATGAAGCTGCATCAGGGGAAGTTCAGATTTGACATAAGGAAAAGGTTCTTCACTGAGAGAGTGGTCAGTCACTGGAACAGGCTCCCCAGGAAAGTGTTCAGAGCACCAAGACTGTCAGAGTTCAAGGAGCATCTGGATGAAGCTCTTAGTCATATGCTTCGGTTTCGAGTAGCCCTGTGAGAAGCAGGGAGTTGAACATGATGATCCTTTTGGGTCCCTTCCAACTTGAGATATTCTATGATTCTAAGAACTCAGTTACAGCCTTGGCATATAGAAAAGGTCACTTTGCCATGCTGGATTATCCCATGTTTCCAGTTTCTTCAGTCCTACTCTGTGTCATGATCTATTTTACTGATGTCCAGATAGACCAGGTCCACATTTTGTTGGTTCTAGAAGACGATGATAATAACAAAGAGGAATACTGGATTAGTTGACTGAAATCTACCTCTATTCATTGCACTGTATACGATTTTCTGTTTACCTTCACATCTTTGACTAGCTTGTTTTCTTCTTAATTTGGTCTAAACCCTTGCATGCTTTTGAACTTGGACCAAAGGACTGCTATCCTTCTGGCTCACCTTGGCACTGTGTTTGTTATTCTTCATTCATAAACTACTACATCTGACTTGTTGGATTTATTTAATTTTTTTTCTTTTTGACCTGGACTTTCTGGTACCATTTCTACAGTAACTATGGGATGGATTTGTGCTTAAACTTAGAAATTTGTTTTTGCCTTTTCTGATATCACAGTCCAACTTTATTATACCCTTTTCACATACAATTTAGCCTAGCCAGTTTTGTCACTATCTCTCTGTCCACTCTACACTTTCTTCTTTAAGTCTACCTAAGGGACCTGGGACCAAATACTCATTGATGTGGAATGGCATTTCACCTCCTTTGCCTTCTGTCTGTCTTTTAAATGTGCGGAGATTCAGCGCCTTGGCTGTTTCACATACCGCACAACAATATCAGGTTACGTGCCATGGTGTAGAAGACTATCAAGACAAATGGGCAAATGAGATGAGGGGAAGACTTAAGCATGCTATCTTCAGGGCAGAAACAGTGCCAAAGGCAGAAGGAAGAAGTGGGTGATTTGGACTCTGCTTCCCCTGGTTGCTGGGGCTCCTACCTGCCTGCCATCAGGCTCAGACTGCCAAAGGCTGACTCTCATTGCCAGCCTCAGTGTAAAGGATATCAGCATTTTTTCCCTATATATCTCCAAGGTCCTGCACTCCAGGAATTGGAGTATGGCCTGTCCCTACTGACCACCATCATTAGATGACACACTGTAAGGACATGACATAAAAATGGCAAGCGTCGCCCAGAGAGCTCTTTAGACACTCTTGCCCCCTTTCCTCTTTCAGACCCTCGAGGAACTCATCTTTGGGAATTTATTCGAGATATTCTTCTCAATCCTGAGAAAAACCCGGGTTTAATCAAATGGGAAGACCGGTCAGAAGGTGTCTTCAGATTTTTAAAATCCGAAGCTGTGGCTCAGCTCTGGGGAAAGAAGAAAAACAACAGCAGCATGACTTATGAGAAACTCAGCCGGGCTATGAGGTGAGCTGAGGCATTGCTGTAGAAGACTGGGGCATGTAAAGAGACTACCTGAATAGAGAATCTGGTTGACTTTTAAAAATGAATTGTCAGCAGAACCAGTTGCTTTGACAACTGAGCCTCTCCTGCTAGTTTTGAGATTGTAACTTATGATGTTCTTTGTATTTTCTTTCCCTTCTTGTTTCTGTACTCTATAATATATAACATATGCAAAATACATCCCTATTTTATATATACAACTTCCATTCTGTTGCTGTCCAACCAATGTAGAAAAGAAACATGGGTGCAGCAAGCTGAACGTTCACATACTACTGAATGGCCAGAGACCTCCCATGATCAGAAACTAGACATACCCGCCAACCATTATCTTAAAATAGATTTACAAATTATATGTGAGGATTTTCTTTGTTCAATGCTTTAACTTTTTGAGCATTTTCTCCATAATATATGAAAGTTCAAAATGTTTTTTAAATGGAAGTAGAGATTCTTTCCTGGTCTGATTTCAGATTCTGACGTATCTGCAAAATACCCCATTAAATCTCATAAGAGTGTGTGATAAGTATGGCAATAGGCCACTTGAAGTATGGTGAAATTCAGACAGAAAACGATTAATGTAAAGTAAAAAGAAGACAATTTTTCTTTTCTGTCTTTCAGTTATAATAATCTTCAGTATTATATGCATATCAATAGAAAATAAAGACTGTTCAGCTCGCTGAATTGCCTAATTTACAGTGGCCTTTTAGGACCATAGGTGAATTTAATCTTAAACTTTTTTCTATGTTTTTATTTTGACAGATACTATTATAAAAGAGAAATCCTGGAGCGTGTGGATGGTCGGAGATTAGTATATAAATTTGGAAAGAATGCCCGTGGCTGGAGAGAAAATGAGAATTAAATATGTCAAGAAATAACATTTAGAACACCTGGATGTAAATATTCAAAGACTGTTTTCTTATATTTATGTACCAAACTGGGGTGAAAAAACAATTCTACTTCTGTTGGGAAGGAGGAACATTATCATTATTGGTTTTAAAATTATTTTATGTGAAGTATGTCCTGTATGGGGAAAAAATGTACACAGTTTTCTGTGGTATAAGATAACATTATAGAATTATGATTATTTTTTCCCTTCTTGTGAAGTTTTTCTCTTTTCTTTTTTTAAATCATACAGGCACAATGTGATTTATGACAATGCTGTGAGTCATGCAAAGAAAGGGAAGGAGCAAAATACTAGGGCATTTGGGAGTATAGTAATCCACTTTGGAAGGCAACCATAAGTGGAGGAAACAGTAAAGCATCTCTGAGCCAAGTAGTCTTTTCCCATAGTCAGCTAGTTTATAAGCTTTCATTGACCAATACAACTTGTTCCTTCCCTCCTCTGATTTCTGAGTGTTTAAACTCTTTGCTGACTTTCAGTTGCTTTTGTTGAGTCAGACAGTGGGTTCCTCTTTAGTTAGCTTATCCTCTGCAAGGTGGCTGTCACGATTGATTTGGAGAACCCATGCTACCTCCACCACTGGGACCTTCTTTTGTAGACAGAAGTTTAGGACCTGACCTTGCCTGATACTGAGTATCTTCCCTAATCTCCAAAGGGCATTCAGCTCATCCCAGGAAAAGGGATTTTTTTTTTAACTAGCATCTTTGAGGTGAGCTGCAGGAAGAGTCAATCTCAGGGACCAAAAGGCATTGAGGGAAAGTTATTCTCTGACTGGGCAAACTTACTAAAAGGCACCAATTTCCAAGTAGAAATACTAATACTTCCCCAACCTTTTATGTTCCTAATTAAAGTATTCAAAACTATGTCATATGAAGCAGTGAGGAGGTGGGCAAGCAGAACGTATATTAATCCAGTGGCATGAGCGAACAGTTTCCCCGTTCCTTTGAGTTGTATGGTCCTCTTGGCAGATCAAGTCTCACTTGGACAGATACTTTCAAAAAACCCTTCAGAAATGCAAAGCTCCAGTGCTTGTAAAATATTCATTCCCTTTGCTTCTCTCAAGCCTAACTACATTGTATTTGTATTTGTCAGCTGTGCTTGGGATTCTTAGTTGGAGAAAAACCCACCAACATAAAGACAGTGAGGTTTTGGGAACATTCACATCGGAGTCAGTATTTTGAGCTCATCTTTAGCAGCACTATGTGGAGACTGAAGATTCATTGGTAACTTTTTCATTTTCCAAGTCACAAATGCTTCCTGCCTGGCACCAAGCACATGCAGAACATGAGGAAATAAAAGCTAGAGGAGGCAGCACTTCACCAGGTCACTAAGTACATGAGATGCAGGAGTTGAAAAACAGGATTTTCTTAGTGATGTTAACAGAGGTGAAACCAAGATCAATTCCAACTCCCTTTTTCAGGGATGGGGACTTTGGAAAACAATAACAGCAGCTGAGAAGTCCAGGAAAAAAAAATAAGAATATTAAATCCATCCAATATCAATTTCTTCAGGCTTCCCCTGGATTTGAATTAGCTCGAAATGCAGCAAGATGCAGCTGGAGGTTGTAGGATATTCCATTTTTTGTTTGCCTTAAAAGGAAATAGAGAAGAAACCAAGAAATGGAACCAGTGTCAATATAAAGGGTATAAATTTGCTTAGCAACAATGTGTAGGCAAACATGAGAGCCTAACTTGTTATCTACACATGTAGGGCATGTCAAATAATAACATCACCTCCTGCACTGCCTATGCCAGAGCTGTCACTATCAATTACCCATATATGACAATTTTTACTTTTCATAACCTGGGTGGAGAGAGATTCGTCTTACTTACAAATCAAATTACAGGCCTCTGTACTTCAAAGCACTTTTTTTCTCTCTTGTTTTTTTTTTTTACTGCTTTTGTGCAACTCAGTAATTTCTTTTTTTAAGCTTAACTAGCTACATTCCATTTATTTTACCATCATTTTGTAGTTCATATAGTAAGAACCAGGCCACCAGATGTGGAGAGCACCTTCACTTTACTCCAAAGACTGTTCCTTCCCGTCACCCCGCAGTTATTTGCATTTTGTTATTTTGCTCTTCGTACTCCCCCTCGCACCCCCCCAAATCCTCACAGTGGGTGAAAATCTGAAACCAGTGGTACGGTCACAGATCTGCAAAACTGTTATTCCTTATCTCAGGTTAACATACATCTTAGAGAAACTGATTGTAATACCTTCATAAAGCTGCTTTCTACCAGCTCTCTCACCAAACTTCTTGGGAGATAAAATGAACTTGTGATCTGCACGTGACACCACTTGATTACTGAGCAGCAGCTAAACCTGCTTTTAAATGTTTTGAAAAAAAAAAAAAAAGGTTTATTTAGAAGCATACTGTATAAATCTAAAGAGTGATTTATTCTGGGGTGCAGTTTAAATGCCAGTCTTTCACTGTCACATCTTTTAGCATGTGGAAATCGTACAAGTTTCTATTCCCACTCGGCAGAACTTTTCAGACTAGGTACTTGTCATTCAGCATTTTAATAGCACAAAGTTGGAATAGAAGCCAGCCAACATTTACTCTGCTTTACAAATATATTAAATTTAGCCTTAGACAAACAAAAGGACTGTTTAAAACTACAGTTCTTGCCAAGGACAGATGCAACCAACCACAGGGAGTCTTTTTACCAGACCTAAGCAAATGGAGAAAATGAAGAGATGAATGTTTATGTAAATTACTATTTAAACAAAAAGCATTTCTGATTGCTCTTTTATATTATATTTCAGAGGCTGAGCAATCATATTTTTAGATGTATTCTTTAAGTTAGTAGCTGCTGAACTGGTAGCACCATGTGTATAGATTTTTATTGTACAATAATTTTTCATATGTATAAAGCTCTAGATAGGAAAGTATATTATATTTATATAACTACATGCAAATCACAATGTCAAAGGTTTGACATGAGCAGTCTCCAACTATATTTTCTGCACAAAATTAAAGCAACTTGCTCTAAAAACATCCTGATAAACTGTATGTAGACTGATGAACTACACAGACATTAAAAGGTTTAGTTACATTTTCATCTTTCTTTCTGCAGCACATTGCATAATTCCTGCTTGCTTCTCACAGCATCATCTTCAATGTATATGTATGGAAACAAATCCACGTTAAATATTTGACTATCACCATTGTAAATCTCAACTTGGTGAATATATGTCACAAAATGATTCTAAAAACTGTTTCTATTTTTGTGGATATGGTATAAATTTAAATAAACTATTCATGAAAGAAATTTTCTGATGAATGTTTATCTTCAGTTTTTTATGTCTTGAGAGTGGAAGTGGCTAATATGAATTCTTTCAATATTGGAGAATATTTCAATATTGGAGAAAGGACTGATGTAACTACCACAAAATCCAATAGCTTAAATTTACTAATATGCCGAATAGCCCATCTATTGTGAAGGTACTGGATTTCCAAACCTGTTTTATGTCTCACAGGCCTCGTTGGAATACTTGATTATGTTGACACAGCTAGATTGCCTTTCATGTTCAGCCGCTAAACTTTATAAAGGTCTTACTTCAGCACTGATTTAACTTCAAGGTATTTTGAAGTGTGTGCAAGGGCTAGGCGGATTAAGGATGACATTACTCGCACTGAGCATTTCCTTTACTGAATCAAAGCAGCTAAAAGTATGAAATCCTGTCCTTCATATATTTTTCCATCTATGGGGTGGGTACAAAAACGCTCTATGAACAAAGAGAACATCTCTCCCGATATGGTGTGCAGCTTGAGGAAAAAAAGTGAAAACCCCTGTGATTAAGAGAAAGCCAAACTGGGCCCGTATGGCATTTCACTCTGTGGGGGACTGTGGCCATATCGGTATGGTGTGAAGGTGCAGTCTGTGGGCTTGCAATAAGCCAGTCTGTAGCCCCTGCCACTACCTTGCTGGGTATCTCGAGCTGGTTGGCAGCAGGAGGCTGCCTGCTATGGTGACCTATTCTTGTTGCTGTGCCAAGCATGTCTGGAGCTGGGTTTGATTCTCAAACTAGGAGCTTCACTGCAATGGGAAAAATCACTCCATCGTGCTCTATAATCTGCAAACATGCTTAATGTTAAGCAAGCGAGTGATTCCACTCATTTGAAATTATGTATATGGTGGTGGCTCTAAAAGTGTTTAGTCTACATTGAATGAGTCTATATTCGAACCCAGAATTTCAAGGGGCTGCAGAATTATGTCCACCTAGGTAGGAGAACATGATTGAATTTTAAACACAGGCACAACCCTCATGTTTAGCATGCAAAACCAGGCCAGTGGCCTGAAAGGGTTGTCATAGTTTGAGAACTTGGGAGTCCCGAACCAGGTTTCAAAAAGAACTGTATCCAGATTTCAAGCAAGTTCAGACTGAATTTTACATAAGCACACAACTGGTTTTCCGGTAAACAGCTGGACATTTTATTTCAAGCAATCTGAGGCCAATATTTGAGACAAAGAAAAATGAAAATATTGTTTGGAAACATGCAAATAAATGCATGTTTTAAAAAAAAAAAACCAAATTTCTTCTTTCATTGTGACTTAAAATCAACCAAAACTTCAGCTTTCAGAAGAATTCAGAGTTTGCAAATCATATGTAAATTGAGAAAAAGTAAGAGGAGTACTGTAAACAGAGCCTACTAAGCTACATCTAAATCCGATACAAATTTGTGGGCATGTCTGCATCAAGGACGAGTGAGAATTACTTCAGGTAAGTGAAATCTGGTTCTGCAGAAAGATGAGCAATTGAGAATTACCAATACTAAAAGCTTCCAAGAAGTGTGACTTGGATAATTACAGTAATTTGAAAGATAGATTATCTATTCAGGTTTTCAGCATTTGCTCCCTTGCTGATTCTTTGCAAAATGCAGTCTGTCCTGAGCTTTGTGCCAGCCAAGAATTTCCTCCAATGACAACTCTTGCTGCCTTTGCCCAGACATTTAGCTCCTTCAGCCACCTGACTCTGTTTCAACACATGAAAATGTTAGCGAAAATAATAAGGAAAGAAAATTAAAAAAGCAGGAGAAAGAGACTGAGTACATGGTCAGATCTTACTGCACCAAAGAGCTCTGTGTGGAAATACAAAGGCTGTATGCACAAAAAAAGTTGATTACATACAAGTCAGTATATTTATAATCTTTCCATCATAGGTTGGTTGCAAAAATTAAACATAAATTACTGTGTACAAGTCTAATTATAACTGTAAGGAGAACAAGAAATTAGAGCAATATGTTATATGTACGGCATAATCTTGTGAACCTAAAAAAATAATTTAATTATGAAAGTAAGATGACTGAAGCACTATTTCTGCTGAAGAATTTCCCCCTTCTGTTTTCAGAATGGTGTGATATTCTCCTTTGTGTTCATCTCATTTCGAATTTTCAACAATAAGATTCAGTCTCAACAGAGAGAATGAAGAGAAAAAAGGATGATCTTAAATGCCGCAGCAGGTATTGCAAAACAAATAGGCATACTGTAGCTTCTTCTTCCTAACCTTTTTGTTCCTTATTCAGCATTTATAACGTTCTTGAGAACAAGGTGCTTTGTGTGAGGTTGGGAATAAATGTAGTCTAAACATATGATATCACTAAAATGAAATGGAAAAATATAATTATTTTTAAGTTTGCATATGTTTCTTTTTCTACAGCTGAGGTTCTAATGCATCTGCCCCAATCAGTTACTATAACATGTAGCATTATTGTTCTTAAGATGACACTGCTAACTTGCATAGCTAAATCTTGTTTAAAAGAGCTAATTATTTCTGTAAGGAATTTGAAACACGCTCAAGTATTTGCATTTTAGTTTAAGTAACCCTCTAATTTTTCTGCAAGAGCCTAACACCAAGATATATTTTACAAAAGTATTTTCAAGTTTAAAGCTCTCATTGGCAAATTTTGTTGTTGAAAACCAACATTTTTCCAACATAAAAGGAACAACAATTTTTCCAACATAGGAGGAAAAGAAACAACTCAAAATAAATAAGGAGATTTTTTTGCCATTTTATTTTAAACTTTTGCGAAAACCTTCCTTTTATCATTTTGTTTCTGCCTTTTACATTATAGTCATTGCACCAGCAGAAGTCTGATTTACTAAATGGAGTCACCCTTTAAAAAATATTTTGTATTTTCTATATCTTATTGAGCAGATGAAGACACAGGGACATTTTAATTACTGACAGCACCTGTTGAGTATCTTTTTCTGTAAAATAGACACATACATTTGGCTTATATGCATGCCAACATACCCTGGATGGGATGTTCCCACAGGAACTGTCTTGAATAAATCTCTTAAGCTGTTACATTAATATGATTCAACTAAAGATCTGTTAAGCAAACCATTCAGCAATGATAATGTAAATTCAAACCTAGTGAGATGGCCCAAAACCAGTCAGTCTGTCAAAGAAAGGTCCAAGAGGAGTGCTGGTGACACTTTTGTACTTCTTCAGTGGCTGTTTTTAGAAGTTACAAAGATAAACACAGAGTTGTGATCAATTTTAATCAGGAAGCTCAAGACTGTATTAAAATCCCATGCTCACTATGTTGGTGTCAGTAGCTTAGCGTTCAGCTGCCCCTCACTGGACAGTTTGTTCTGGGTTGAGGTTTGTCTAGGATAAACCTATTAATGAAAATTTCTGGGTAAAAACCAACTGCACCATGGTTCATAGCAGATCTGACATAATCAATTATGTTTTTTCATTAAAATTAAACTAATTATGGATATGCCCCATGAATTTACATCCTGATGAATCATTTCTGTTACCTTGCTTAGCTTTCTTTCTACTACAGGACCTGCATCACATTTTGCTCTCATCCCTGATGCATGCAGAGTATTTGATCTAAAGCGTTGCTTTGAATGCTAGATAAGAAGTGGTAAAATCTGGACACAACCTACAAAAATGTCAGCAATGCAAGTCTTTTTGCCTCTCAAACCTTGTTGAGGAACGGGCAGACAGGCTGTTCCAGAAGTGCAGTTTTGGTTCCCAGAGCTGGCCTGCAAAGCCTGCTCAAGAACAACACAAAATATGCCTTTATAAACTAGATTGCCCTATATGCAATATTTCTTGACCCTGGGGGGGCAGGAATGCTTCATAAATATTTGTCAACTGGTGTTATACATTTTATGTATGTCTTGTATTTGATTTTTCTTTTGTAACTGAGTCTGCAGTTTTATGCCACTCTCGATGTTGAGAAAGATTCTTCTAGGGATTTAGTTCAAGTGATTTAGTAAGTCTATCAGATCACAAAATGAGAAAAGCTGGTGGACTATTTATTGCAAATATCACTCATTGTGAAAATCACTTTATTTCCATTGGCAGACACTTCTTAACTGATCCCAGATTTTTACAAAAGTATATGATTTGTGCCAGAATTTCCTTGTTTCAGGCTATGGGTATTTCAGTGAGGATTGAATGGCTTTTTAAACAATGATTTCAGTTATCAGTTACAGATCTCATAAATTTTGCAGAGGAGCCTTCCCCTCCCTCCTCTAAGAGTGGTGAAGAGACCATCATAGCACAAAGAGTGTCTGAAAGCCTTCTTCTTTGAACTGAAGGTGTTTAGGGGCTGAACACGACACCTTATAAGCCATGTTTTAGATCTCCTTTCTGAATCTTGAAAACTTCAGGCAATAACGTGACCTGCAGCATTTTGTGGCAAGGAGGTAATTGTGCTTCACAAGTCTCCAGGGAAGGCTGCAGGATGGCTCCGTAGCAACCTGTGGGTGAGGAGAGGCACTGCATTTATCCAGGTTGCAGCCTCCGGAGACTAGGATTCCCTGTGTAGACAGGTTTAGTGCCACTGTACTAACTCATCTCCCAGGCTGAGGGTCCTGAATTTCTCAGATGTGCCAGGCAGACATAGACTTTTAATATTCTTGAAGCAGCACCTCAAATGCTGTGACTGCTGCAGAAATGTCAGGAGACTAATGGGAATGTTGAAGCTCCTGGAGGTAATGGTCCCATGAAGATGCTGAGATACAGCCCTTCACTGGAGATCATGAAGTGCTCCTGCAGTCCTCTGAGAGTGGACTACACCTTATCCTTCAAGTCTTGCCAGTTTTGCTCACTATTGGTCAGCTCCTGCCTCCAATGTTTTCTCCCATCCCCTTTTCCCAAGTCAGGTGGTTCTAACATTGGGTGTACTCATGGAAACTGTTCTTTCCCTGGAAGGGAATGTAAAGAGTTTGTATGTCAGCCCCCTTGTCTTCTGAGTCGGCTTTCATGGGCTAAGACCAAGCTAGCCCTTTGACTCTACTTTACA